GGTTTTGTTAGAATTTGCTCCTATCTCTGAACACGCCGTATAGCGATAAAAGCACCGGTGTGAGGAGGAAGTGTCGAAAATTGCAACAATAATCGGGGGACCCCGACAAAAAGGGCCCTCGTGTCATTGGGCAACACCCACGCCTCGAAAGCGCCGTTTCGGCGTCCATACGAAAAAAAGGCGTCAGAAGGGAGGAAGCATGGCTCCTCGATTTTTTTTTTTTTTTGCTCTGTGGGAGCGTGTAATAATGCAACCGGGAGAAAGGGAGAGTGCGTATACACACAAATTTGGTTCAGGGTCATCATATACCGAGGCTTGACCAAGGATGTTGCCTCACACGCCCAGGATGTGCGTTGCGTAAAACCATTCCGGCGTGTATTTATACTTACCGAAAAGCGTGAATTTGCCGGCAAAAAAAAGGAGTTGGATAGTATACTGTTTGGGCGAGTGTACGTGGTGCCTATAGATTAATGGTAGAACGGCAACTTTCTCCGCAAGGATTTGTGTATACACGTTTACTCTGACACCGGAGGAGGAGGAGAGAGCGCGGCCGATCTTCGAACTGTGGAAAAACTGGATTAGCCAACTATGGATCACGTGCATGTGTACAGCGAACGCGTGTTTTCCTTCTTTGTCTCTCTCGCTCACTTTTTTTTTGTCCCATGTTTGAAACCTCGCGCGCGGAGGAGAGTCCGAAGAAAGTATGTGCATCCAGAGGGAGAGATAATGTAGCGTAGGGTCTCTCTCTCTCGGGGAAATCGTCACGATTTTTACGTGTATCCATCTGCGTTACTTGTCTGGGTTTTTTTTTGGGGGGGAGGGGGTTATTATTATAGGCGCTGTTAAGTACACATGCAGTGAAACTCAAAGTGCGCATTGTAAACACGAAATCCAATCGAGTGTAGACCCACGACGTATGTTTGTGGCTCTTGACTCGCACCGCACACTCATATCGATATGTATTCTCTCTCTCTCGGAAGTAATAATGTTGCACGCGCGCCCGCGGTGAAAACGTATGGCAATATAATATACATGGACGAGTTTCGCGGGATTTATTATTTTAGAAAACTTTGTTTACGCTCCGGTATACTTATACTTGTGGTGTATATCTGACCGAGCTGAGTTTTCGTGGTGGTGCTTGATAGGTTTTTTTTTTTTTTTTTTCTCTGTGTCGAAAAGTCAACAGCCCGAGGAGGAAAGTTGCGAAGTCAGGAACAAAAAAAAAAATAAAAATAAAAAATACAACACAGTGTGGGCAATATAAATTTTTCGCGATAAAATCGAGGTGGTGCAACGTCAGGCACCTTCGTGTACACGCACTTATCCTTTTCCTCGTCTCTATGTAGGATTACCTTAGCCAGTAGATGACGCAGATCTTTTTGCAGGAAGTTGAGGAGAGGCACCGTTGTGGCTCTCTTTTGTTGCCGCGAGAAAATATCACGGCCTCGTTATTTTAGTCGTGGGCATGTTACAAAAATATAAATTTTCTTGACTGTTAAAAATCAATGCGTACATGAAAATTATTAATTTACGAGTAAAAAATATTCTCAAGTTCAGACCGTCATTTGTTGAAATAGGACTTTATTTTTAAAACAATAAGATGCATAATTACAGTGTTTGCAAATAAAGCTCAACTCTTCTTTACTTCCTGGCTGTCACGATGTGCATGGCACGTCGTACATTTATGTGCTTTGTTGCGAAATTAAACATACAAATTGCATAAAAAGCAAAACGATTTATTTCTTTGTTTCGCAATTTATTGAAACAAAACTTATTGTTTAATATTTTTTTACCCACTGTGGTATTAAAGGTAATTTTGTGTCTGCACTAAGACTTTTTTTTCCTTCATCCTAAGTGGGTATGTCGATTGCAAAGCCTTGCGATCACTTTCAATCCATCCAACGCGGAATTCCTCGGTTCATTCGACGTATCTCGAAATCAATCTAAATAAAACAATGCGAGGGATCAGTGCATAAGTATACGGTCGCAGAAAAAAAAAAAAAAATATCCGAACAAAGACGACACTTGAATAGCGATGTACCCACTCTATTTTGAAAGCGTACGAGGCACGCGAAAAATTTCGCCGCGAAATTTTCGTATCCGCGAACTTTAAAACTGCACCCTTGCAGCTTTAAATATACATACGTACTTGCAGTCGGAAAAATAAATTCACGAATTTCAAACGTGTGTGTGCAGTGTATTTTGTACTGCTGAAAGTGCCCGTGCCTTACCTTTCCTACTCTCCTTAATTTTATTTGATATTTCTTTGGGTTCATCGGAACGTGAATGAAAAACGAAAAAAATAAAAGAGTGAATTTTTAAGAAAAACTGTTTTTTTGGATAACGCAATAACTCTAGTATGACATGGGATGTGGTGCATAAAAATACATACAAGATAATACTGTACCGTTAGACGAGTAAATGATACTCAAACTACTTTGAGTACAAATTAATTATTCTCTTTTTATTTATGGAATTGTTTTTCTTTTGTCAGTCCCAAAATGTACTATCTACAGTTGCTGGGATCGAGAAACTGTTTTATACTGCCAAAAGAAATAAATCAATTATTTTCCGCTGTCTAAACTTTGATACGTACTTGCCTCTTTACTTTTGGTGATAAATATTAATTTTTAGCGATGGTTAATTTTTTTTTTTTTTCGTGCGCAGAAAATGATACCGTGAAGAAATTACAATTATTAATTTGACACTTCCGAAAGTCGAGACCGTATTTTTATATCCGTCAGAAAAAAATTAGCCTAATCGATTATTAAAAACTATCGCAATTAAATTAACGCAAAAGCTAGAGCATAAAATATTGATGAATTGAGAAATAGTTTGAAGTTGAAGAAGTGATGCTCTATACTCGATCATAGCATGTTAAAAATACACCACTTTGCTTTTTAGGCATTAAAAAAGAGATAACACGTACTTATAAACTTGAGAAACGAAGAAAAAAATGCACATTTTCCTCGAAGAAGAAAAAAAAAAAATCGCACATGATGATAATGATGTTCCAGCCACCGGTTTATATTCCCCTTTAACCACATTATAATATGCACGCACGGGAAACTTGAATCTCACAACTGGAAACACATATATTTCTCGTTATTGGATATGCAACTGCAACTTTATACGTAAACTCCGCCTATTAAATAACCATCGACTACTTTCATGATCCCCCTTCAATTTCTCACCGTTGCACGTAATATATTACATACTCCTCTTTTTTTATTAGATAACCCAAGCTTGGTGTGTTCCGTCGCAGCTTAGATATCATTCGAATTTGCAAAAATAAATTAAAACATGCAAAGCAGCGAACTTATTGGTCGCGCATTTACTTGGCCGACTCTCCCCGAGTATTTGCATAATAAAGCGCGTGAATGCCGGCGTATGGAAGTTTGCTCGGCTCTTGGGCGTGCAGCTTTTTGCGAGTGTGTTTACCCATCACTCTTGTATTTGCGTGTCCATTAGTCGTTTTGTCCCATTTTTCCTTTTTCCTACGACGGATCCTACAATGCTGATATCAACAGTCACGCAATAATATAAATATCGTCCCAAGTATACTTCGAAAAGTGGGTCAACGCGCGAAACTTTTTTCGTGCCACGTTTTGTTTGATGGTTTTCATTTGTTTATTTTTCGTGATTCATTGGAATATCGGTACAAGGTCGAGATCGATACGTACCCACTTACATTGTACCCGATGCTTTCTCCTTCTCGCGAGCGTTTGTCTCTTTATTAAGCAGTTGCGTGTATGGATAAATGAAACTTTCACTCGAATATCGTCTTTCTCCTCTTTTGGTGTGCTGGTAATAGGATTACGCGTCGCGTCAAGTCCGACGATCCCATTGTTTTCGAGAGAAAGTGGCTCTCCAAAGTAATCAATTTTGTAGAACAGTAGGTGATCATCTCGTCTTTCGTTGTGATGTATCGCGTTGCGTTTAAATTGAATTTTCCAGAGATTGTTCATCAACGTCAAGTTGTAATGTTTCGTATGCATGTGATTGGTTCATGGAAACCATCATAATTTTGCGATGAACAATAAACGCCTTTGCCCAGTTGGGTGATGTAACTTGAATCCTTTGATAAAATTGTACGATACGTGAACGAAACCTAAGAAAAAAAAAAAAAAAAAAAAAAAGTAAATTGAAAATCAATCAAGTGGATGGGGATTGATCGATTCCTATGTATCGATACACTGTGGACTCTGGTAATTTTTCTCATGTAGGCTTTTTCTCTTCGAAATCAAACATATTTTGAAGAGTATACAAACCAAAAAAGAAATTGTATTTAATTATAGTTCAGGAAAAGAGGGAAAAAATCGTCCATCTCAAAGTGTATCATATCCAAAAGAGAGATGTAATCGAAACAATTCAATATAATCTACATCTTGGGCTCAAAAAGTGCGCGATCGGCACGTTTCCAACGAGCGTCAATTAAAAATCTTGCTCCACATATTACGAGACAAAAGTTTCAACGAAACGAATTCCGTTTCGAAGATCACGAGATTTTTAGAAAGTTTGTTTTTCACCTACGCTGCGCATCGAGAACAAAATAATGTATTCTCAAACTCAGGCGAGGAGCTGCTTTGGTTTCGGTAGAGTATTTTTTTCAATGTTCAATGAAGATAATCACAAAAAATCTTGGGCTCCGAGTAGCTGAAACCAAAGCAGGACAAAAAAATAAGAAGCTTCCTCGCAGTGGAGAACAAAAGAGAATCGCTGATAATAACATACTCCGGGTACACGAACATGCGATCGGCTGTCGTTTATTTTTTAATTTTTCATTTTTCATTTTTTTTCATCTGATCGAGTTTTCGCTTCCTGTTGTACTGTAGTCGTCATAAATGATACACTATTATTAATAGGTACGTGCTCCATCGAGTCCGAACGGACAGGTGAAAGAGACTTTTTCTTGCTCCTTACTTGTGAAATAAATCTTGAAATCGTCGATATTATAGTAAAAAATTAAAAAAAAAAATTATTCTTGATACTTGTTGCAGAGGGCAAAGTGGAGGTGTCGAGAGATGGAAAGTACCTCAGCACGCTGTCGGCGGGCAAGGTGTTGGGCGAGCTCGCCATTCTGTACAACTGCAAGCGCACGGCCACGATAACCGCTGCCACCCACTGTCGCATGTGGGCGATAGATCGGCCATGCTTCCAGACCATCATGATGAGGACGGCGATGACCAAGCAAACCGAGTACACAGATTTCCTCAAGAGGTGGATTTCTTTTTTTTTTATTTTATTTTTTTATTTTTATTGTTTAATTGGAAACACAAAGCTATAGACTTGCTGTTGTTGATGTACCGATTTTTTTACTTTGCATTCGGAAGAGGTTTTTTTTTCAACCNACATTAATTTATTTATATTCATCACTAACAGACAAATTATAAGATAATGATTCCCACACTATTTCTTCAGCAATAAATGCATCTTCTGTATTAAACTTGCGTTCAACGACTGTTTTGCGTTTCAGTTACGTGAAGCTGGTGGACTTTGGCTTCGCGAAGCGGCTCGAGCAAGGCCGGTTTAATTGGAAACACAAAGCTATAGACTTGCTGTTGTTGATGTACCGATTTTTTTACTTTGCATTCGGAAGAGGTTTTTTTTTCAACCACATACCGTATATTGTTTACTCCACGGGTTTGTCACTGTTCCTTTGACAGCCTAACCTTGCGTTTTTTTTTCCCATTAAATACGATAAACTCAAGTCCGAACCACCAACCCAAACACTCGATATGACGTACGCGCGTATTTACGATAGTGGTCCTCCGTCCGTAAACCGGATCGTACTGACGACACCGATTTTTCTCTTCCAGCGTTCCCATCTTCAAAAATGTACCGGACGAGACGCTCATCAAACTCTCGGACGTCCTGGAAGAGGTAAGTGGATGTATACAAACGAAATCTCACTAGACAGTAATGTATAGGTACGCAGGCTCGAAAGACCGCTCGATCCGAAGCACTGAACTCTCATTGCAATAGACGACGTGAATCGCGCAATAATCGGGGGGACAACAAAAAAAAAAAAAAAAAAAAAATACAACTCCTCCGCGGACTCGGCAATTTGCATAATCACGTTTGCTTGTAATGCACAGTCAAATGCAGTACAAAAAAAAAAAAAAAAAAAAAAAAAGAATTACAGCGTGATGCATAACAAACTACAAAGTTTTCCTTCCGTTGTATAACCCATGAGTTGTGTATGGCTGGGAGTTGGGACTGGAAGGGGGGAGGGATCTTAAAATTACCGCAGTAATTGAATTTCCGTAGTGCTACTACAAAAACGGCGAGTACATCATCAGACAGGGCGCCCGTGGCGACACGTTTTTCATAATAAGCAAGGGCCAGGTCAAGGTGACCCTCAAAGAGCCAGATTCCGTCGAGGAGCAGTACATAAGGACCCTCACGAGGGGCGACTTTTTTGGCGAAAAAGCACTGCAAGGGTGAGTTTTTTTCAATTTTCCTTTACTTCACCCCTCTGAACTATATAAATTTCTTTTTATTTTACCGATCTTTCGTCTTTTGTTGGATAGTGACGATCTGAGGACGGCGAACATCATAGCCGACGATCCCGATGGCGTGGGCTGCCTGGTCATCGACCGCGAGACCTTCAATCAGCTGATATCCTCGCTGGACGAGGTCAGGACGCGCTACAAGGACGAGCAGATCATACGAAAGTTAGTGTCGCTCTTGCATCTATATAATGGGTCTTCTTAATATTACTGCTTCGTTAATAATTACTAACATTTTTATCGACGAGTAAAAAAATCTCGTATCGCCAATTAACAACCGACCATTTGCCCTAACTGTGTTTCATGTCTAACGTTTTGAATAACATTAAATAAAAATAAAGGACGCTGGCAATTAGAAAAACTGGTGAACGTAAGTCCTATACAAAGTGCTATTATCTGTGTGGGTGTGTGCATGTTGGAGAATTTGACATCGGGCAAGTTTCTTAAATGAAAAAAAAAAAAAAAAAATAATCGAAGATCAGTTTTTTTTTTCTTCAAACGAGTCTACAAGGTCCAAAATCGACCACGCCCCGATGTCAGATTCCGATACGCTGCCTGTCTACTGCTGCTCGATAATTGGGTCGTCATGCAAATTGCCTGTTTTATTTATAGCCTGTTGTATTTTTTATTTTTCTTTTTGTTTTTTTTTTTATTCTTTGCAAGATTGCACCGTCTTCTCGCACACAGCTGTTGCTTGGTAATTGCAGAGTTGACATTTTCACATCCATTCTTCTCACTTTACGAGATTCGTATCCTCATTATGCCATATCTTGAGCTTAGGATGTATCATTTGAACTATTTTTTAATTTTTTTTCTTCACTGCAATGCATGAATAAAACGCCAAAGATTTTGACATAGTTTTATATGAATCTGTTCCCTTCGTTTGAATATTTCTGCCATTGTTTTGATATCTTTTGACGGAAGGCTCAGTGCAGAAAATTCTTGAATCCGTGAGCTCACACACACGCAACGAGAGTTTGTCAGCATAAACATTTTTTCATTGAGTTTTCGTATGAGAAACTAACAATCATTGAAATGTAGAAAAAAAAATTTTCAATTTTTAATTGGTTACTTCTGACGTAAATATTAATTATTTTTCTTCACGTTATGACTCTTACGATTTCTTGCACTTGAATAAATCCTGCAACACTGAGCCTTTCTTCAATAAGCGACCTTACCATCTCTGATAAAAAAATTCCACACATACTATGTATCTTCGTCGTACAACCCCCTTTAGAAAAATACCCTCGATCTCAAGGTGACGCAATAATCTAATAAAAACTTGTTTTACAACGGAAAAAAAAAGGATTACGAAGAACCGGCGGAGCGAGGAGTTCCGGGAACTAACGTTGCAGAACCTGCGCTCCATCGCGACCCTCGGGGTTGGGGGTTTCGGCCGAGTCGAGCTGGTCCAGATAAACGGCGAGAACACGCGCTCGTTCGCACTGAAGCAGATGAAGAAGTCCCAGATTGTCGAGACCCGCCAGCAGCAGCACATCATGTCGGAAAAGCGGATAATGGGCGAGGCAGACTGCGACTTCATCGTCAAGCTGTACAAGACCTTCAAGGACCGGAAGTACCTCTACATGCTGATGGAGGCCTGCTTGGGCGGCGAATTGTGGACCGTGCTAAGGGATAGGGGACACTTTGACGACGCGACCACGAGGTTCTACACCGCTTGTGTCGTCGAGGCTTTCGACTATCTGCACTCGCGCAACATCATCTACAGGGATCTCAAGCCGGAAAATCTGCTGTTGGACAGTCAAGGGTGAGCATTGCTGTTACACTTTTTTTTTTATTATTCCCTGAGGATCAACGGGGTTAGACTAAAGTTTTTTTATTTTTTTTTTATTTTTTGGTAGTAATTTTATCAGCGTTTCACTTTATTTATTTTGAAACCATTGCGTGACCATGTTTTTTCCAGCTAACCTTCTGTTGCGTAAAAATACAGACACTCGCATTCAATTACAATTTTCCAAACGAACAAAGTTCTATTTAAAGATCGCGTTGTGCGCGTTGCGGGCAATTTAAAATTGTAAGTCCTAGCTATAAAACGTTGATTACTCTTTTCTTTCAACTACGACAGAAGAGCTTGAACATCAATCAACAAGCATTGTTATTTTATTTATTATTTTTTAAAATGTATCCTTGCGTTCAACGACTGTTTTGCGTTTCAGTTACGTGAAGCTGGTGGACTTTGGCTTCGCGAAGCGGCTCGAGCAAGGCCGGAAAACTTGGACGTTCTGCGGTACCCCGGAGTACGTAGCCCCCGAAGTGATACTGAACCGTGGACACGACATAAGCGCCGACTACTGGTCGCTCGGTGTACTAATGTTCGAGCTGCTCACCGGCACGCCGCCCTTCACCGGCTCCGACCCCATGAAGACCTACAACATCATTCTCAAGGGCATCGACGCCATTGAGTTCCCGCGGATGATCACGCGCAACGCTACAGTTCTCATAAAGAAACTCTGCAGGTGAGCAACTTTGTCAGGAGGGTTTTTTTTTTCTTCCTCTTGTTGATTCTTAGTTGGTTGCTACTTGATTTTTCCTTGCTCGTAGGGACAACCCAGCAGAACGACTTGGTTACCAAAAGGGAGGCATCAGCGAGATTCAGAAGCACAAGTGAGTCTTATCTTTATCCACACTGTGGTTACTTTGCCCTTTCTTCCACATAAACCAAAACTGACGAATACAGAGCACCGTAGAAGTTTGAGAGTGGGAGAATTTGACTTAACAATTTCCACTCACTCTCAAACTTATTTATTTATTGTTTTGTTACAGACGTAATTGGTTTTAAAAAAAACAAAACTGATTACTAGTTAAAACCAATGATTTTTTGACTGCACGTCATCCCGAGAGTAATAAAAATTGTCGTTTTCAGGTGGTTCGATGGATTCAATTGGGAAGGTCTCCGCGGAAAGACGCTAGAGCCTCCGATAATGCCAAGAGTCGTGAGTCCCACGGACACAGCCAACTTCGACAAGTATCCGCCCGACTCCGATCCATCGCCACCAGACGACACAAGCGGCTGGGACAATGACTTCTAATATAACAACAGCAGCCACTTTCCAACGCCAAGCCTTGCGGAATGGCTCTCTAAAGAATTAGTCGCGGTTTTTTTTTTTTTTTTTTTTTTTTCCGGGTATTCGTCTCTAGCGCGCATCCGCGGGACGGAAAGAATAATATTTTTTATATCACTGTGACGAGTGTCGACCTCTGGTGTAAGGTTCGACTTGCGAAATAGAGTGGATTTTTTTTTTCTCTTTTCTTGTTAACGGTGTATACACATTGATCCAAAATATCCTCTACTTTGATATGTATATGCAACCCACTTTACGCCGAAGATCTCAAAACGAGGAATTTTGGGACCATGTTGTTTAACTACTGTCGATCGTGGGTAGAAACAAATTAATGAATTTCACACTAATTGTGTGCGCGTGTGTTTGCGTGATGATTACGGAGCAGCGCGTCAACGTAACTACTTTTTTTTTTTTTTTTTTAATAGGAACCAAGGAATTTGCCTGTTTTGAATAACAGGTTTTTCAACAATGCTGTGACTTACACAAACACAGTGATAGTTTGAGTGTAACAAAATATAAATTCGTTGATAATGTTAAAGAGAAAAATATCGAAACAATTTATGGTTACGAGTGAATGTCGTTTCAATGCTGTGCGAATGACGATAGGCATCCGAGCGAAACTAATTGCCGACTCGATTATAGTCTTCAAGACGCGCGATCGAGCTGAAGAAAAAAAAATATACACATCAATAAAAGATAAGTCGGGGAATATACGTCGCGAGACGTATGCCAGTGTGCCAAGTGCCATTAATATAACAAACACGTTTTGGAAAAATGAAAGACGTAGTCGAGAGAGAGAGAGAGAGAGAGAGCGCGAGCGTACACGTAAGAGATGTAGGAGAAAAAAAAATGATCGGCTTTAAAAGAAAAATTTTCTTGCCATTTCACGTTGCAATTTCACGATATTGTGAACTATGTCAAGGACGGTATGCGTCCAGCAATTATGCATCGTTCATAGATTGTTGGGATTATAATTAATTGTTGTTTGATTCGTTTTATAGTTTATTACGATAATTTTATTTTGAAGAAACTTTTTAAGAAAATAAATTATGTAAATAATTTTTAGAGACATGCAATTTATAAGACATCTGATATATATATACGTATGCGTATATATATACATATCAATATCAAAAATAAATTTTATTAATATTATAACATCCCGTGGTTTTCTTTGATAACCTTCATAAGTATTTTAATACCTATGTCATTAATTAAGATAATAATTATTGGTTAAAGGCATTTGTATCTAAACTACACCAGTTCATCCACACTCAGTTTAAAAAAATGATGTCCTTTGATATGTTAAAATTTATATTGATTAAAAATACATTCCACTATAATATGACAATTTTATAGGCTATAGAATATATTCTATAACAAAGTATTATTGTACAATATCTTCAACGTGGTATAGCTGATCAGCTGATGGCATTCAAGATATTACGTCCCAGATGTATGCAGTGCTGAAGATATTGAAGAACGTCTAAGATGTTATTTTATGTTATAACACGTGGTTGTTACCTCTAATGGTGAGAGTTGGAAGACATCGTTCGCTTCTCTACTTGAAGTTATGATTTACTTTTACTAAATTAGTTTTGTATAACTATTACTAAATAATGAAAAATTCTCCAAAAACTATGCATGTCATTCATACATAGACGTGCTGAACTGTTTGTGAAAATATCCAAATAATGGCAATAGGTGTTACTAATTAACAGAAACAAAATATATAATGAAAATTTAATGTTGTTTATTTAAAAATTTTATAAAAGAATACACCTACAACATTAATTTATTTATATTCATCACTAACAGACAAATTATAAGATAATGATTCCCACACTATTTCTTCAGCAATAAATGCATCTTCTGTATTAAAACTGTTTGAATTATTCCAATGTTGAATTTTCGACGAGCCCCAAATCCAAAATAACAACATCGACGAAGCGTAGGCTATGACTAAAAATTGTACGATGATGCACCAGTCGTGAATACCATTCTACAATAGTAAAATGATTTGTTGTTAATTTTTTCTTACACAAACACTTGTTTATTTATGCATTTTGACAATATGGCTCTATAAATTCGTACAAATATTTACATACCACATCAAGCGTGAGTACAGAAGCGAATATTAAAATGATAATGTCAAAGAAACTACTGATGGCACTCATTATCCCGTAAAGGTAACCTGCGTAATTTGGAGCTAAATCGTGTTGATTTCGCAAGCTCGATTGACAAGCCGCACTGTTAAATAGCATTGCTAACACCATTCTTGGCAGATTAAGTAACGGATCGCAATTTTCGGTAAATATTATAACCATCAGACAAACTGCAGGAGCAAGATGAGCTGAGCAGAAAAAACATATCATTCAAGTTAAAAATTTTATGAAATACCATATTTGTGGAGAGCGACAATACTATCATTCTTTTGATTAAGAAAAATATATTGTAACCATATAAATGTTACATATATTAGTTTATTTGTAAATTTAATTAATCATTTTTTAAATGTATAAGTTCATTTATTTCAAAAAATCTTTTTAATTTAATTGTATTTCGTTATCAAGTGATGTGCTGCAAAAAAAAATACTTACATAAAATAATAAAAATCTGACGGATCGTTTCTGAGGAAAGAATGTTATTTCGTCGCCAGAAATCGCCTACCACTGCAAAAACAAATCCCATCGCAAGTGCGGGAAAATGAAGTAACATGTTAAGTACTTTGATCTAAAGACAAAAAAAATAATTTTAAAAATCATTCAAAAAATGCACAGTTTGTTCGTACGGATTTATGTAGATGAATATTTATTTGTTAACCTTATAGTAACAACTTACGTAGTCAGCGCTGAAATTAGAACTTTTCCAAGCATATACTATAATATTTGGGATGAAATAACTACCCCATGAACTAGCCAAATGTGCACACAATAAAACAAAAAATGGTGTCGAAGTAATGAGGTACTTCGTAGGAAACTTTTCCTAGGATGAAAAATTACAATTAAGTTTCCATTCAAATTTCTAAATGATTTTCAAGAAGACGGAGATTACTTTTAGTTCGCAGACGGATTCTCCAATTCTGTTTTTTATGTATTCTACCTCTGATAACTTAATTGATGGATGAATTTCTGGATAGTCATAAATCAAAGATGACCAAAGCCAATAGAAAACTAACATAAAACCACTAATAAAATATACAATTTTCCAATCGTAATCTGGAATAATATCAGCGCATAAAAATGATGCTAAACATGCTCCAAGTGGACCACCTAAAATTATGATTGTTAAAATTAATATTGTATGATTGTATCATTATTTATGTTTTAATCATCATGTTAATAACCGAGTTCATACATGGCAGAAAATTTATTCCATCACTTTGTACAAAAGATACAGTATGTTATACAATATTTATTGTGCATTTACATATTTTTGCTAAGTGTATATATGCATGAGTGAATGATATTTGACAAATATTATAATAAAGTAATTCATCAGCAGTTATCGAAAAATGTTTGTATACTTACATTGTATTGTCCAAATAAATATGCCTTTTTCGTCTGGCGGTGACCATCGAGCTATAAGAGCGTTCAGTGCTGGATTAACTGCACCCTATAAATTAACATACTGTATTCAATATGAAACTAAAATATTGTATTCATTATTTTTATGAATAGTAAGTACAAGCCTTTTGTATTATACAAATTCTTTTGAAAATCTACAGAATCAAAATTATATTATTAGTTACAAAAGTTTGTATACTCACCCAACAGAATCCTATAAAAAAACGCACTATGAGAACAAAAGTATAAGGAAGCACGGAATACCAAGGGGCAAAAAAAGATAAAATTGCGGAAGCCAATATTGCTGCGCTATAAAAAAAAGTAGCTTGTGTTATTAAACTTTTGTTATTTTTATTCTGTTGATTTTAACTTTCCTCAATTTGTAATTATCAATTTTGCTTACGTGATGATATTAGAGCCACCAAATCTCTCTGCACTTATACCAGCAGGTATACTAGACAGCATTGCTCCGAAGGAAAAAGCCATAGCCGAAAAAATTGGCTCTTGTCCCATTGTAAATGCCATTGCCGAAAAATTTGGCTCGTAACTCCACGTAACGTTCTTTCTATACTGTAGAAATAATAAATAATTTTTTTTAAAAACACTCTACAATCGGCTTATTTGTATGACTTATTATTTTTTTTTTTTTACAACCAAAGTATATAATTTACGTGAATTATAAAATTTAATCATTTAAAGTGCTTGAATTTTAAATTAGGCTTGCTATGATGAAAAAATAATAACAAACTCTATGCGCACCAAATCGTCATTCGTCTGAACGTTGTTTCTATCAGTACCAGCTGTAATGGCGCGTATTACATAAGAAGACATTGAAACCACAAGCATCATTAGAAACACGATGGTTCTCCGAGGTACCCATTCTGCAATGTAATAATCAGTATCAATGTTGAAATAATTAAAAGATCTAAATTAATAAATCTTAATCATCAATATGATGGCTAATAGAATTTTGGATATCAAAGATTTTTTTATCAGTTATGAAAATACTCCATACTATCCGATGAAAAATAAGAAAAACAAGTAAAATATCATTAGGGATTAAGATGGTCACTTTAATTATACTAATCAATTAAATTGGCCTTTTATGTATTATTTTACAGATAGTACATTAGTAATTTTACAGACCAGTTTTGGTTTCATCGATAAAAGTTTTATTACTCACCTCTAAGTGTTTCCGAAATGTTTATCATTTTTTTGATTGGTTCCTGTATAGTGTAGTTGAAAATCTACTGTGGATATTCTTAACACCAGCTATACTATATTTGATACTATAAGGTCGGTTATTTTTTTTATCTAAATTTTTTGTGGATAAAAAGAAATCAAGAATTAGTAACAAACTTGCGAATTCGAACAATACGACTTAACATGCAAATTAAAAATTTCAAGTTAATTCAAATGAAACGCCATAAAAGCACCCTCGATATACATAGCTAGTAAAAAGCACATTGACAATTAAAATCACATAGTATCTTCATTACTCTAATTTTTTGTAAAATATATATACATTTGTTAACATGAATTTTGGAAAATATATTATTATGCTTAAAATATTTGTAGTTATAAAGCATGAAAGATCCACTGGTAATTTTTAATAGTTTAACCTTGGTGACATATAGAAAAAATTATTGAAAATTTCTATGAACCCCACATTGATTTAACCTGTATTATTCGGTATTTTACGTACTCAAATTTATTTTAGGGATAATTAGTCTTTTCCGATGGGTGCTTCCTTCAATTCAATACATATAGTTATTTGAGAAAAATTGTTAACATAACTTCGTCTTTTTCTCTAGTGGAAAAATATATATTACAACATAAGTATAGTACCTTGAAGTATATATTTTACTTCTAGTTCATTATCTTATGCTTTACCACCAAGAAATGCACCATCACAAAACGACCGGAAAAAATGTTGTTATCAATTATAAAATAATTTTTTTTTATGCATGTTAATATTTATGTATTTTAAAAAAACGTAAAAAAACTATTATAACATAATAACAGATACTAGCTTAATTAATCACTACTATACCGACTAACAGATCGGAAAATTAAAAAAAAAATTTTAAGATTAGTTTGTTTCGTTGCCTTTCGGGAATCAATTAAAGTTTCATAACATTTCAACATGTACTACTATAATACCTATTTCGAATATTCAAGTGTAAGAGTACAGATTTATTTGATTTTAGTAGAAATCATATGAGAAGCCATGATGGCGTTAATGCAGCAGCATCGCTGACAT